GACCATACCATACCAGACCAGACCAGACCTATTACATTTTCTGGCGTTTTCCATTGTCTAAAAATCATGAAATTCAAACATGATTGACTTGGTTTCAAAAGTGAAAGAAGACAGCTTTTTCTATACTCATGACAAAGTAATGTTCCCTACCAGTTTATGCTAGAAATTAGAATTCATATCGCTTCAAATAGTGGATTGGGAAGTACTGCCAATTTTCCAAACATCCCGTTTTTCACCTTGAGCGCGTCAACTCCGCGGATTATCACAAAGCCGAAACAAGTCGAGCTAAGCTCAAACACCTACTATAGAATGTTCGAGGTTTGTGATAGCGAATTACATAAAACTTGGATGAAAAAGCGTCTTCGGAGATAAAGTTAATGAGGTCGGGCGCAATCCCTCAAAAGGTCAGGCCGCCTGAGCTCTTGTAGCCTGCGCCTGACCCATTTAACTTGTCTTCAAAATCCGGAAATCAGTCCATTCCTGGTATGAGTGTTGAGCTCATAGCCTCTTCTTGCCTCGGTGAAAAGTTGGAGCAAAACACTCCACCCCTGGGGAAATTCTGGCTCGTTCAATAGGGCGATTCATATCAAAAACCGCCGTCAGATTGCATGTACTTGTAATGTGCAGTCACATAAAAGCGACCATATAGCTCCTAAAATTCAAAAACTCCGCAGGACAGACTCGTCTTCCCCAGAGTTTCACATTCTGAGGTTCCGGAGGTAAAGAGGATTAAGAGGGGGTCGTTTGGGGCTTTCCTGGAAGGAGAGGGGGGGGTCGTTTCCGAACGACTTATGCTTCACCTTTTGCTCAACTCTGGTCTTTACCGTGTGCATTCCGACCTCAACATGACGTGGATTGGTGCGGCGCCGCCTTGCTTCTAGCTTGCGCCAAGTTGCGGAATCGTTTGGCGCAGCATGGCGAGAAAAGCAACGTGGCGCAGACTTTCTTGCGTTGTTTCTGTAGCCACCTCTTAGCTACCTCAGACAATCGATCGGACCCCTCCGCCGGACCCTCGGAAACTGCCAGGGTCGCGCCGGACCCAGTTGACCAATGAGAGAAGGGCAAATGGGCGGTCCATCGCGGTGGCATCACTGGCAGGCAAATGGGAGGCTTCTCCGGCCCTGCTGCAAAGGTCCGCCATTTCTCCGGCGCGACTCTGCCAGATTTGACGGACTCCGCGCCGCAGAGGTCTGCGCGGCGCGTGTCCGCCAAATTTGGAAGACACGCGCCGGAGAAAATCGGAGGGGTCCGGAGCAGAAATGGGAGGTATCCGGAGCAGAAAATGGGAGGTATCCGGAGCAGAAAATGGGAGGTATCCGGAGCAGAAAATGGGGGGTATCCGGAGCAGAAGATGGGAGGTATCCGCCGGAGAAATGGGAGGTATCCGGAGCAGGCTGCGTATCGATTTGGCGCGTAGCAAGCAAACGTCTAACTCCACGGTGATGAGTCCTCTGTTTACGCTCTTTGTCCATATTTTAGTCGCCGTTTATTTGATTCTGTTGTTTTTGCGCGTTTCTTTACCGTTTTTTCCTTTTCCGCGTTGCTCTTCGTCGCGTTGGCGTTTATGTTGCTGTAAGTTCCTCGTTTTCAGGTTTATGTTTGAAATTTTCGTGCGGTTGCACTCAATCACCTTCAGTGTTTGGCTCTTTCCGACTTGCTGAGACATCGTAGACTATTGATGGAGTGGTTTTTGTGATTAATTCTGGATTTTCGAAACAATGAGGTTAGTTGCGCAACTATCTAGTGTTGTTGTGATGAAAGTATCGTCTAAATAATCCGTTTATTGCTATAGTGTGGACCCCGGCCAGGTTCCCATAGGTACCTCCGCGGCGCGCCCGCAGCGCATGCCTTCAGTGCGCTTTTCGTTTCGGCTCTGAAGGGATTTCTTTCAATTTCCTCTTTCAAGTGTGTTTGTTCTCTTCTGTAATCTCTACTTTAGATGTAAACGACACACGTCAACTGCTGGTGATGGATTTTTACGAGTCTTGACAGTCTTGCAAGCATTTGTTTCGAAAATCTTGTTTTTTTCTCAATAGTGAAGATTTCGGTGTAGTTCAGAGACATCTCTCCAAATGTTCAGAATAAGTGTATATGCAGTTGATTTTGTGGAGTGTAGATGCTTCTAGCCTTTTGTTACACCATCAGAGCTTTGCAATCGTGCTCTTGAGCTCAAACTTTCTGGGTTTTTTTATGAACAGAAGGAAGACTTTTCAGAATTGTTCTTCGACTTTTCCTGTGACTTCTATCATCCATCGCTGGTAGTGTCATACACTACTAGCGATGGATAATAGAAGATTCCAGTTATTTATGAGATTGACTGGAATCTGAGCGCTAGTAGTAGAAGTTGTGAAGGTTCTCCTATTGCCTTGGCTTTTCTCGTGTTCGGATTAGAGGCCTCCACATCTCATTTCACTCCTGTTTTCGGTTATAATGCTTTTTTGTTCGTAAGTGAAATGAGAAGCGTTCAAGTCGGGCGCGCGTTGCGTGTGCGCCGCGCTAGTACCTGAAGCTGGCCGGGGTCCACACTATCTCTCTCGTACGTATGCTTACCAAGTCGATCGACTTTTCATCAGACGTTGCAGATCCTCACTATATCGTTTCTGGCTTGAAAGATAGGACAAGGCAAGAGATATGTTGACAAAAGTCTTGGAGGCAACTCCAAACGATGTTGAAGTTTTGTGACTGTTACTGAAGCATTGTGACTGTTACTGTTGCTTAGTCACATCACATTGCTTCCAGTATTGCTTAGCGAGATTAGGGACTGATAAGGCTAGGTAAGCATGTAAATGTGAAATGTTTGAGTCACATAGCTTCTTCTTTACTGTTTATGTGACTTTCAATTACAATTTGCAGAATCGCTTCTGAACGAGCGTTGGAATTGCAAAATGACAATGTTTGTGCTCTCTCAGCACTTGCCATTTTGGATTACAATACGCATACTGTCGAGGGAGCCCAAAGTGCAGTGGCTTGTCTAGGCCAAGCGTATAGTCTGGAGCCGGAGAATCCGGTTGTCTTGGTCCATCTTGCCAACCACTTCTTCTTCAAAGGAGTCAGTGCAGAAATTCTTTGAATTAATTACGAATTATCTATAAAAGGGACCTTTTAAATTTGTCCAAGCTGTTACATCGAGGTGTTTATCGCTTTATCTGAAGGCATCACTTTTTCAGGAAATGAACAAGGTTGAACGGTTAGCGTGGCATGCAATGAGTATGACGGAAAGTGACGAAATCAAGGCCGAAGCTTGTTACATTCTTGCGCGGTTTTTCCATTTCAACAGAGACTATGAAAAGGCGTTCAAGGTAAGTTGCATATGCAAGAATTTCAATCCATGTCATCATCGTGTCCTAGTACTATTATCAAGCAACTACGTTGAATCATCCTACTTTCGTTTTGCCCCAGTATGGCCTTGGACCTCGGAATTCGAAGATGTTTGGATGAATATAGCTCATGTATATATCGCACTTGGACAATATGTCCCTGCTTTGCAAATGTGAGTTTATGGCGTTCCTCGCTGTTTTGTTTCATGTTGCACAGAATGCTTTTTTGATCTTTTTGTCATTTTCTTACCATGTTAAAACCATATGCTTATACTGTGGTGTTACAAGGTTCTTTTTGCAACTAGGAAATTAGTTTTTCTTTGAATATTCTTATCACTCCTAGTATGGTTTTTGTAATATGAATTAACTGTTGTACGTATGCTGGAGATAGATAGATAGATTTTTCGAAAGTTTGATAAATTTGAAATAAATGTCTTATCTCTTCGTTCTTTCTTCTATCTTCTATCCACAAACGCTAGGGGTGAGAGGGAGGGGGTAGAGTACGGGGTGAGGGTCGCGCTAAACTCCTACCCGGGGGGGGGGGGTCCTATTCGGCTTATTTGGGTGGGGTTTAGAGACAAAATTGGGGTTTGGAGCTTAAAGGCAGCGTCCAGGCAAGTCTGGACCTATGGGGATTTTACATGGAAAGTATTTTGGGGCCCTAACTAAGCCACTACCCAACCGGCAGCTCAAGTAGTGCTCTAACGCCTGAGATATTCTGCTCGAAACCGGACCCCGCGACCGTGTTTCGCATGGATTCATGGCGCAAAGAGTGGATCCTGGCGCGAAACTGCCATGAATCCATGCGAGTACGTTCGCGGGGGTCTGTTTCGAGGGGAATATCTCAGCCATTGGAGCACTACCTGAGCTGCTGCTTCGGCAGTGCCTTAGTTAGGGCCCCAAAAGTACTTTCCATGTAAAAGCCCCATAGGTCCAGATCTGCCTGGAAGCTGCCTTTAATTAGGGCTAATTACAGTATGCCGCGATCGGGGGGCTCCGGCGCACAAAATCGGGGGGCTCCGGAGCAGAAAATGGGAGGTATCCGGAGCAGAAAATGGGGGGTATCCGGAGCAGAAAATGGGGGGTATCCGGAGCAGAAAATGGGAGGGCTCCGCCGGACAAATGGGAGACCCACCGCTGGGGATACGCCGCGACCCTGCCACTTCTCCGGCGGAGGGGTCCGATCCGCTGTCTGAGACGCTACGCCGAACAAGCGACCGCAACGTGACGCAAGCCCGAAGCGATGCAGCGGCTCACCATTCCACGTCATGTAGAGGCTGGAATGCATACGGTGGGAAAAACCAATACGCATTGACAATGACTGTACATATTAGGTCGCCCTGAAAGTATCCGCCTTTTTAAAAGGCTGCCACAATTCGCAGAACAGAGACTTGTGGATGATCTCGATATCAATCGATGCATCTTTTCGTTCTTTATCAAAAAACTGTGCTTTAATTGTAGTACATTGCAGGAACTCTCAAGCAATCACCAACTTGAAGCCGTTTGCTTTTTGCCAAGTTTAAATTTTGCTAATTTTCTAATTTTTTGTATCAACTCTCCAAAAACGTCCAAGTAACGGATGGAAAGTGCAAGCCCTTAAGACACAGAACAATTTTTCATCAAATTAAACAAAAAAAATTCAGTAATCTTTTAAACAAAACCATCAAATTTTGATAAGCCTACCTCACAAGCAAACTCGTCAAACACCAATACGTCTTCGGAACTGGAACCTCTAAAAGTGGCTTATAATCAATAATCAATTTTTCAGCGCAAGTGACCGTTCACGGATTCAAAATATTAAATCTCGTATCTTTCGAGTACAGCTGGAATGCATTTAGAAACAAGAACTGTGTTTATTTTTCACTAGTTTACACTCGGGAACAAAAACCATCTGTTAGAGGAGATGAAAAAGCTGCATCAAATGACACCTTAGTTGCTCTCCGGCTGTTGTTCTATGAGCTTTCAGACGTCCAAGTGTGAAATATGATAGCTTCAAAAAAATGTTATGATAGAGAATGAAAAGATGCATCGAACGGTACTAAGATCTTCCATAATTGTTTACTCTGCTAAAAAAGCGAAAATATTTTGGTACGACCTAATATGTCATGCCTCGGATCAATTACCCTAATTTCACGCGTACAAGGCCCACCTTTTTCGATTTTTCAAACGTGCCGCTCAGCCGCCTCGTCGTGTTTCGGAAAACGTGACGTATGCCGCACGATACTCCCAGGCAATATAGAGCGCTGTATATAGTTTTTTCGCGTTCGCGAAGTCCTTTGTCGTGTTTGGGCTGCTCGATTTTCGAAAAAATCCCCCGCGCCTTGTACGCGTGAAATTGGGGTATTGAAAATCAACTACTCAGACAATCGCCGGGGGTAAGCGGGCACCGGAAATAGATGGCTGATTTCTTGCACCCCGCTCGCCGATCTTTTGAAAAGCAATCAAGACTTTTCGGGACGCCGCTTGCTGAGTTCTCGATTCCTCAGAGATTCAGCAATATATCTGCAAAGGATAAGAGCGAAAAAGATTCAACTGGTGGTCTATCAAAAACTTGCTGAAGATTTTTCTGGAACTTGCGAGCGGAATGCGAAATGTCAGCAACGCGTATTTTCCGGCGCCCGCCTGCCCCCGGCGATTGTCTGAGTAGGAATGACCATGTTCACGCTTGCTCAGACGTTCGCTCTACCCGAACTTCGTAAACATCAACAAGTCAGCGATTTTTAGGTGTCGTTTGATGCAGTTAGTTGTCCTCTGAGTGTTTCTCCGCGAAATATGCAGATAACAGACAAAATGACTACTCACAAATTTGGTGCGTTTGATGGTATAGCTAATTTTTGATAACACGTCGATCACATCACATCACTTCTCACAAATTAGTCAGTTTCAATCTTTCTTAAGTATTTGGTGCAACATGACTCATGTTGATCACTTCAAGAATTTTGGAAAAGTTTGGGAATTTTTGGAAGGCCATCTAGAGGATAAAAACAGAGTGGCAATGCAAAGGTTTGCTCTACTGCTTGGCTGCCAAAGCTCCTTCGAAGACTTGCGGACAAGTAAGAACGATGAGTTGGAAGCGCCGAGGAGTTCTGAGCATTAATCGAAAGGAAAAACTTAGAAAACATGGATTTCGGAGAGCAAGAAAATCTGCACCGAAGCCCTGTGGATTCGTGTTTGTAACATAGGACATTTGACGATAGGTCAACGCTTCTTCAATCGCACGAGCCCGAACTAATAGCTCGCAAAACGTTAGAGGCTTTTTGGATCACTTCAAAAACCAAAAATGAACCGTAAAGACGAATGCATCGCCGTGACCAGAGAGCTGGCACCATATCAGACCCTCTGCAGGTTTTGCTCTACGGGGTCAGGGTCAGATACTTAAGGGCTCGCAAAGTAATTAACAGTAAGGCGCACTCCGCATACGGTGGTTTGCTCACATAACACTCTCTCGGTAAGCGTCGACTCAGTTTTTCACGTCTCTGTTGTCGTTTCAGCTCCTATCCATGACGCTGGATTGTATCTTGTCGTCGAGTAAGATGTTTGAGAGAATAGCACGAATGTTTTGTGATCTTTCCAGGCTCTGAGAGAGGCGACGCCAGCAGTCATAAAGTTATTGACAATCTTGCTGACAGGCTCAAGAAGAATATAACAGTTTCTTCAATCTTTGACACAGGTGATACATCATTGTGATCACATATCGGCACTTCGTAGCAAAAAAGTTTAAAATCATAATTTTTTGATCTTACACTGTGTCAAATATCGATATAGAACTTCTGACATAGAATTATAAGGAGGGAAAAAAGAGTGGTCAATTTTCTGTTTGAACAGCAATTCGAGATACTTTTCATTGTAAATATAAATTCAGTGTCTGAAATGTTCCTGCACTATACAGGGTGTCCCAAAATAATGTGCACACTGTTTGATTGTAAATAACTCTCTTAATATGAGGTCCTTCGAGAAGCGGTAAGCGCCATTTTGTAGAGCTGGCTTCAACTTAGATTCACAGTATGGAGCGAATCACCGACTGCTCTTCATTACTGTAGGGTTACGGTAGAAACTTGGAACATATGGGTGTCACTATGGAAAAAGCTGCCGTTTCAGAGATTTTCAAAAAGATGTGAAAAATTGTGTAATAGGGTTTTTAGGGACGCTGAGTTCAATATTCAACTATTCTCGAGATTGCGAAGCTTTCTAAACTGTGTAACCGCACTTTTTAGGAACATTGAAAAAATGACCGCTACCGCTTACCTGGCATAACTCTTCAATGAAGCATCATAATAAGTTGGAAACTTTTCAATTAGAATCGGCAACTCTAATTGGCCTAGTGTAAGGCTCCCGCCAGAGTGCCGGAGTTATGCCAGCCCTACGCCAGCATTTCGATCGATACACGTGTATTTTGTTGGGGCGGGGCTAGCTCACGTCCCCAACGAAATACACGTGTATCGATCGAAATGCTGGCGTAGCGCTGGCATAACTTCGGCACTCTGGCGGGAGCCTAAAAGTTTCCAGGCTGTTTTGATTCCTTTCTGAGGCAAAATATGGCCTTTCATGGCCCAAAATCCTCTTTCAAGTTTCTACCGTAATCTTACAGTAACGGAGAAAGATGGACGATCCGCTCTATACTGTGAATCTAACAAGGGAACCGTGTCGAGTCGAAGTGGCCTTTCCAGATGAGACCCATACAGCTTTAAAGAGTATTAAGCGGTGATTCCAAATCTGCCTTCCAAATCTGCCAAGCGCCTTTGAGCCCCGAGTTATGACCGTTCTTCGGAACGAAAAATGAATGCAGAATTTAGGTAAAATTGACTGTTACAATCTTTCCAGCGTTCAGATAAAGCAATGCTGAGTATTAGCATATTGAATATAATGTATCCATTGCATAAACAGCTCTGATACTTGACACTGGACCATTTGAGCAAATTTGGGCGATTTTGCTTCAGTTTTGCGTTCAATTTTTTGACCTGAAAAACGAGCATAACTCGGCGTCCAAAGGCGCTTGGCAGATTTGGAAAGCAGATTTGGAATCACCGATTAATGCTCTTTAAAGCAGTATGGGTCTCATCTGGAAAGGCCACTTCGACTCGACACGATTCCCTTGTAAGTTGAAGCCAGCTCTACAAAATGGCGCTCACCGCTTCTCGAAAGACCTCATATTGAGAGAGTTATTAACAATCAAACAGTGTGCACATTATTTTGGGACACCCTGTATATTTACAAGATTCTTCTACTCAAGTTTCCTATGCTGTTATTCACTACTCTAGTTTGTAATTACTTTGAATGAAGGGTATAGTACGGTTATAAGCAGCGCAAAAATGCAGTGCATTGGACCAGTATCATAGACAATATTGATGTGAAAATCACTTTCGTGCATCCACTAATCCAACAGTCTAATGGTATGCTTGGAATGAGAAAGACTGTATCGCGATCAACCTCTCCTCAATAACCTCTGACCGTCAGCACCGCGAAGCTGCGCTGTTGGCTGACGGGATGGTTGCGGCGTTCTGTCTTCTGCAGCCCTGGGCTTTGTCGGACCACTCATAGACCACTCATTGCTGCGTCTTCTTAGCTTTCATTTCATTATCGTTTCTGTTATTGAATGGTTTACCATTCTTGGCACAGGCGTATGTACATGCGTTATTGCGAGTTGCGAATTTGTAGGATTAGAAGATTGGAAGGTTTGATGGACGCGCAAGGACTGGAACATCTGAATGACGACATCGTAGTAGCTTTTCCACGCACAGGACAAATTCTGGAGCAGGGATCTTATTTTTATAATATTAACATCTCGGACTGGTTTCAGACGCACCGTGGCCGTACTGCCGCGTGGTGCGTAGCCGACCTGAGAGTTAGCTCCTTTGGAAGGTGGGAGGTAGTGAGAGAGCGTGAAGCAGGAAAGTGTAAGCGAGTGAATGTTCCCATCGACAGCCCGGAGCGGGCATAACTGGCATTGTGGCAGAGTCGTTATCATCTTGTGATTTACTGTCATGGTAAATGTTTTGTATTTTACGTTGTTCTTTTGAGGATGGCATGACGCGCCATTGTGGGCAGGAGCTCATCGCGATAGCGGAAGTCCCCCTTGGGGAAGGGACCGTAGGCATGGTCGCGGAGCACCGGAGGGCGCAGAGTCCACAAAACCGTAATAGATTCTTTGGCTTGAGAGAACTCGTACCTGATTTATGTATTGGGGTAAATGGCAAAAAATGGGACAGCTTGATTCTCATAACATTTTGAGTTTTTTTGTCTCGACCAACAGCAGGCAGGCTGCAACTTAAACGTCGCTTACATAAGCGACCTTTGCTTATTGTTCTGGTAATGCGTTCACGCTTCTCTCCCGCAACTCTGCGCGTGGCGCCGTGAAGAACGCGAACAGGGTTTTTTTTGAACATCTCTCAATTCTGCGCTGCTATGCCACAAAATCATGAAGCAAGTGACATACCATTCGGAAGAGCTATCTATGTCCTTTCAAACGGTTATATGTGGGTTTCCTTAGTATTCAAAAAAAAGGAAATAAATTGAAAAATTGCGATTTTTGGCGCAATAAAAATCAAAATGTTGTGTTTCAACCTCTATTTTGCGGAAAGGGATGAAAGTTGAGGTAAGCTGCATGTGCATGGATAGAGCGTAAAGAGCTCTATCAGATGGCAGCCAGAAAGCATGCTTACACTTGCAAAGAAGTATAACATGTATCTATATACTTTCAAGAAACTGCTAATGACCATATCTCCTTACTTAGGCAG